TTTATTTTTTGAAGACTGAAATATTATGTCAGAAATGTGTTTTCTTTCCTCTATGATATAGCTACCTTACATGGGTGTGTGTGTGTGTGTGCCGTGGGGAATAGATAGAAGCTTTCTAACTTTTCTGTTTGCTGATATACACCTTGTATCCATTGGCTTATTAATTATGAAAGCTGTTGTGTTGTGTTTTGCAGGGGGTGGCAGTGAAGTTTCCTTTACACAAGCTGGCTTTTTGTGGTCATATAAAATTTGGCATAGTCCCTTTTTCTTCCTCTTTTATGGAGCCATTTTCTTTGCTTTGGTTTTGGTGTTCTGGAGCCTTCTAATTTAATTTGTTTTGCTTTGTTATTTGATGAACCAGGTAACACTGCCTAACTTTGTCAGTTACCTTCTAAACACAGAACTAGAGACTTTCCTAGGACATACACCTGGTGAATAACCAGAAATTAAAAATAGTTTCTAAATTATTAATTCAGAATAATGACAATAAAACAGTATTTAAAATTTTCAGTCTTCTCATTTTTATTATTTGTACACATAACTGTTATGAGAAGATGGTGATGGTGGCATACCGAATTTGTATGTCCCTGTAGTGGACAGTCATATGGTGAATGTGAGTGTAAACTAAAGAGAAAGAAAAAAGTGATAATATCTTATTTTCAAAATTTATATTGTTTGCTCTCCCCTCCAACCCAATTCCTCCAATGGACTCCTAAATTAGAAATATGGGTTGTTTCTATGGGTGCTTGTTTGTTTGCTTTTTAGATTGTTTTCTCCCCCCATCCCATGGTCTGCCTTTTCCCTTTGGGACAGAAGATGATAATAAGGCATGTTATTTTCATAGTCTCCTAGCATTCATCTGATATAAAGTCATCTTGGAGTAAAAGGAAACTGTACCAGCAGAATTTACATAGCAGCATATAGAGGCTTTTAGCAGCATTTGTGGGTGCTGAGGCCATCTCCCAGTGGCTGGTATTAGGGAGCAGCAGGCCTGTACTGGCAGCCCCGTGGTGGCCCAAGCACAGCTGTATTGCTGCTGTTCTTGCAGGTTTGTGTGCACCTGGGATCAGCCACACCCAAGTGGTATCAGTCAACAGTGTATCATGCGGGGTGCTTTTTTTTTAATTCACAATTTCCTCTTGAAACTCAACTAAAGAGTGTTAACTGTGTGTGTTTTTTTAATTCAGTTTTGTACGCTAGCATTCTTTAAATGTCTGCCAGAAGTTTAATTTGAATTTCTGATCCCTGAAGGCAGCTAGACAGAATCATTCTAGTTCTTTATAAATTGCCTTCTATGATTCATTGTTAACTCATAAAACATACTCATTTCTATATACTCAAACAGTTAAGGTAGTTACAGCATCGGGAATATAATTTTTTTTTTGCATTATATTTAAATTGTCATTTGAGAAAGAAATCGGGAATTAGCTGAAACTCCCAGTTAAGGCATGAGCCCCGCAGCACAAAAAACATCAGAAATTAATGTTTTTATCTCAGGGATGGTACGATAGATGGCATAGAATTGGGGGGAAAAGTTTAGTTTTGACTGAGTACTCTCAAAGAGGGGCCCATAAATATTAGAGCGCTGTAGTTAAAAACTCACATGACTGTTTTAAATACTATTGATTTAAACCAGTGGCTTGATTTTATGAATCAAAGTGTAATTTCCAAGCTTTGGCCATATTTCTCCATGCTAAAGCACTCTCTCTTGTGTGCCTTTAGCCGCTTTCCAGACATTCAACACAGGATTAAATGATAGTAGTTACAGTGATCAATAGGTTAAGACCGGTACAATCACTCTTGCCGCTAATGACCTCAGTAGTAATGGGCAATAAAGTGTGGGCTATAATAGCCTCTCACTGGTACTGCATGCCCTTTGATTCCTAGTATTAGTAGGGACTAGCTACATGAGAAAGTTGGACATTGGGAGTTAAGGGAGTGGATATGTAGGCTATAATTCCTAACTATTTCAAGCCTTAAACTGTGCTCAGATTTCTTTTTTCTTATCTACCCCACAGTGGTTTCTGATCCATTTGGGCCATGTTTGCTAATAGCCTCCATAACCTGTTTTTGTAACATCTTGGAGCAGAAACTTGGGGGGAAATCTTGGTTTTATTACATTCATAAATGAATCTCGAGCCCACTTTGGAGGTTCGGAGCTAACTGGTGTGAAAATACGGTTTCAGAGACTAAAAGCAAAGTTAAGGTCATCACAATCTAATAGCCTACTTCTGATTATTCAGACACCGATTACCAGGCTCAGGATTTCTCGGCGGCTCGCCTCTCCCTCCTTTCCCAGCCCCTGCTGCTTTAAGCATTTTATTACTCACCAGCACCTCCATCACAGTATCCAAAGGGAAAAGGAAAGGGAGACTCAAGTTCATTTTACTGTTCTATAACACGACTATGAAAAAAATGAATAAGCAAATGTGAAGAATTAAACTATGGGCTGTATGTCTGGGTTTAAAAATTATCTGTGTCAATACTTTCTCTGATTCCCCTTTATGTTTTTGACAGTCAAGGGATTAGATAGTGTTTCTCTTTCAAGAAGATGCACACACTTAAAAAAAATATTTTCGGATAGTTTATTTTTTACTTATTAAATAGATTTCATAGAAATCTAACTTACCCACCACACAGTGTATTCATTCTAAGTGTACAGTTGGAGGAGTTCTGGCAGTTGTGTACATCTGTATGACTGTTACCCCAGTCAAGATAAAGGGTATTTCCCTCACCCCTAAAAGTTGTTTTGTCCCCCCTCTCTGGCATAGAATTTCTGCAGGTCTTTTAAAAATGAGGATCAAGTGATTGTTTCTATGATGATTTTTGTTGTAACACTGTTAATTTCATGTTCATCACCAGTTTAGATCTTACACCACCCTATTCCTGTCTGTTTTCCTGTTCATCACCACCAGAAATTTGGCTCAAGAATATTTATATTGTACATCATCCAAGAAACGCAGAGGAAAAAAGAAACCTTAAACATGGTTCTTTTGTTTGCTTAATCAAACCTCCCAGTATGATGATGCAACTCTCAAGGAAAAGTAAACTTCTATTGTGATGTGTTGGCCTCAGCAGCTCAAAAGATAGTGATTGGCACCCAATACATATTTAAAACTTCAAAAAGTTTCTTCAGTATGAAGACAAAGTAGACTAATTGGAATTAATTTATAGGTGGTTAGATGTTTCACTTATGTTTTCTTGTTGTTTGCCCTAGATTGAATGCAAGTTCACTGTTCTAATCATTGGTGATATTTTCATGCTGCAAAGTATCTTTTTGAAAGGATAATTTATCCATTCATATACATCTGTCCCTTTTTGCATATAAAAATATTCAGACATGCCCATCTGTTTTAAATTACAAAGTATCTACATATATACTTAGGAGGCCACTGCAATCAGAAGAATTCATTGATGACCTTTTAGAGTTGGGTTAATGAAATTTTTTGAATGTCCTAGCTAGTGTTTTCTAAACAATGTGAAACTTGAAGGAAAACATCCCCACATACAAAACATGCCCACAACAACAGTGGGGATTGTTCACTGTACATGAATCTGACCTTCAGGAACCATTTTTAGTTCATCAAAATTAGTGATGCTGAGAAATCGGGACATCAGTGCATAATGACTGTGAAATTAGGAATGAGAGCTCGCTATGCAAATGACAGGACAAATCATGTGAAAAAGTCAAGATAAACTGCATATTAAGACATTATGTTACATAAAATTAATACTGCATTTCTCCCTTTTGCTTACTTACTGCTCCCCTGAAAGATTTTTTAATTCTTTTATCTTCTGATCAGCTATTGTCTGTCGGGGTTTTTTTTTTTTTAAGTGGCACATAGGCAAAGTGCAAAACATGTTATTACCTTTTATTGTAATACATGAGATGACAGCAGATCTTTTTTAACAAAGTATATCCTTTACTGCTTCTAGCTTCTTGCTGTCACATGTTTGATTAGAAACCAAAGGAAAGTATGATGCTTAAATATTACTGTTAGAAGACATACAGGTTTTGTCTTTTCTTTCATTGTTTTTTTTGCTCCTTATCTTTTTATTTGGGGGGGGGGTGATTTTTCATGAAATAGTCTTCTTGTATTACTGGGACTGACAAAATGGTTCTCATGTAGTCTGCAAATTAAACACAAGTGCAGTGATTATTTTGAATAGCTAAATTACATTCTAGAAAGCTTGCAGAATTCATAGCATTGTCATTAGGTATCCGCTTGAATACAATTTGTGTAACCTTGGCCAAGACAGCCTGTCATTTTAATGTCAGTGTTTTATCTGAACAAGACATCATCCTTTCAGATACAGTGTGCAGGTTCCTTGCAAAGATGCCCGTGCAGAAATGTGTTAACAGTTGCAAATATGAAATGCTATCAAGTTCATCACTGTATCTGTTTGTCACTGAAATGTCATGGAAAGCAGCTTTTAATGGTATCACACATAATATGAAAGAATTGAGACATCTGTATGCTGGGTGAATTAAGAAGGGTAGAAGGCACCACAGAAAGGGTCTGTGTGTAAATTTGGAAGGTGAATCCAAGATTCCGCAGAGGAAGTGGATTAAGTTCCCTCCAGTTACAAAGCGATTGGTTCCCATTTGCCGCCTTCCTTAAAACAAAATGCAAGTTAGGGTTAACTTTCTGCAGCTCATATTGACCGCAGATTCGCTCTTGATAGGAAATTGAAATTATTCTATCCTAACTCCAGATAGCGTTTATTAAGCGTTTACTCTTTGTCTGCTTACAAGACTGCCTGGAATACCTGCCAGGGCTACAAAGCTTTCTTTTCCTTTTCTTTATATAAATTAAGCTCTGTAATAGATTAAATAGGATTTTTTTTGCTGCATCTCCTCTGGGTTGCACACACTGTGTATGAGAAATTGGTCAGTTCTTGACACAGGCTGATGACAGACTGCCGTGGAACCTGGGAGGCTGAGTGCTACGTGGATGTGATTTTTCTGGCTTCCCATTTATCCTTCATTAACATTCTAGGTTCCCGTGTCAGTGGCTATGATGACACCTCAAGTTATCACTCCCCAGCAAATGCAGCAGATCCTCCAGCAACAAGTGCTGAGTCCTCAGCAGCTCCAGGTTCTCCTCCAACAGCAGCAGGCCCTCATGCTTCAACAGGTAATTGTCCTTCCTCCTCCTGCAGTGTCCCAGACCACCCAGGACCCCTGCCCTCCGTTCAGGATTCCCCTCCACCTGAGTAGCTCCTTCTCCCCCTGAAGAATCAGCAGAGTGGGGTGGGTGGGGTTGAACACAGATCCTTCCTGAATAATCAATTGCATTTGCATCCCTGAAAGAGAGGGACTCTGCCCAAGTGTCTGGCATTTCGGCCTAGAAGAGTACCCGATGGACTGAGATTAGGGCTGTAATTGGACTTGGTAGAAATAAGATATTTTGGGCTTATTTGGCTTTACACTCTTTTATTTGGTAAGCCCAGAGGCTTCTAAATGGTGTGAATCAAAGCAAAACAGGGAGCACGTTGGGAGCAGGTTTAAATATGACAGCTTTTGAAGTCCCAGTTTCAACTCAGAAGCTTACAGAATTTTTCTTTTAAGCCTACAGACACATTTTGGAGTTGCTTAATTTTAAGGTTGCAGATTTTACTTCTTTCATGTATGTTGATGCTGGAATGAACTCCTGGCTGTCATTGTGCCATGGGGACCTAATAGTCAGAATGGACTCCTGAACAAGAAGATGAGCTTTGGTGCAGTAGTGCGGGAGTGGCCAGGGTGAGGCCGAGGGGCCAGGATGCAGAGGAAGCTGCCTGTGCCCTTGATGCTTTTCGGAACAGCCCGACAGCACTCGGTGCTGCCCAACCCTGTCATTTAGAGAGCCTGCCGCACAGTGCACGGTGGAGATGCACCAGACTCTCTCAGCAAGGGCATTCTGGCTTTGTTGTACAATCAAAGGTCATTCCTTGCCTTATTTTAATTAGTTTGTGTAGAAAATCATATGTTGTTCATCAGTTCATTTTGGAGATTACTTTTCAAACAATAATGCCAAGAATAGTCAGTGTGCACTGAATTTATTGTCAAGTTTTAAAGTAAAGGTCAGGCCATTGCAGATAAAAGGATGCTATTTTTCAAATCACAGTTTGTGCATGGCACTGAAAGGGACGTGGGTTGGTGCTGCCCTCTGTTACTTACCATCCTCTCTTTCCTTTGTAGCAGCAGCTTCAAGAGTTTTATAAAAAACAACAGGAACAGTTGCAGCTTCAACTTTTACAACAACAACATGCTGGAAAACAGCCTAAAGAGGTACCGACAATACATATTTTACTTTCAAACCACAGATCCCAGAGGACTATCTAGTGGCTATTAAACTGTCATTCATCTTTTAAATGATTGCACAACTCAACTGACTCTATCGGTTCTCAGCTTTCAGACCTAGAGTTATTGTCCTGTTTTCTCTTAGATTCTTTCTGAGTTCCATTTGCTTGCTGCCACATATTTTATAACACTAAACACCTACTGCAGGTGTACCTCTTGTGAGCGCTGGGAAAGAAGGATCATGGGCAGAACCTTCGGGACTGTTTTTGCACACTGAGGGCCTTGATGTACCTGGGTAAAAGAGAAGCACTTTCAGTAAAATTTTACATGGGCAAACACTTCATTTTTTTTCCAGTGCAGAGAGCCTAGGTATATGGTGATGGCATGTCTGTTTGGAAGAATAATTTCTTGTGAGGTTGGACAAACAACAAAATGAGAACAAGATTAAACACCTCAATCTCTGTTTAACTTCTTCCTACAAGTCATATGGATCACAATTGCTTAGAGGCATGTATGAGCTGGCGCAAGTTAAGGAAGACACCAGCTTAGGTTACTTATGTTTTCCTGACAAAAAAAGAATGTATCACAGTAATTCCTATGTGTACAACACTTTATAAGTGCACAGTTAGTACATATGTGACACCACTCAGTCAGGTGACAGTGTTAGCTCCAGAAATGGTATGGCCTCTATAATTTTCACCCTCTATACAATACCCTGGGAGTGTGTCCCAGCCCTTCAGGGGAGTCCCTGTGTGCACAGAGTTGTTATCATCTTTCTGCCCCTTCCAAAGTTACCCCATTGAATGTACCTCCTGATGTTTTCCCACTGGACTGAAATTCTTTTCATTTAGATGCACTCCTTGGAATGACATAATTCTTAGTTCAATAAACAATTAGCAGTGTGATTTAATGGCCTCTTCGCTGACCCGAAGCAGGCAGCTACTTTGGTTCGTTTGGAAGGAGCCTCTCTCCTGCCCCTCACACCAGTGTGGACTCTGGGTAGAGCTATCTGACATGCTGGGAATAACCCCAAACATTTCTCCCTATGTCGGTTCCTCCCTCAACATAAACTGGGTACGTTTTCCACGCACTGCCAAGTTTTCACTCCGGAGTCCTGTTTAGCAACCTGGATATAAACCCCTGTAGAGTAGGGGCAGTTTTGGGGTAAAGGGGAGGAGGTGTTTTAATGAAAATGCTGACACAACCGTAAGTACAGTGGCGCGCTACCCGGTGCTGCTATAATAAAAAAAGGGAACAGATTAAAAAGTGTCTAAAATGTAAATCTAAAGGACTAACAGTAATTAAAATGGAAATGGCACAGGGAGGGAAGGCATGTAATTGTGAGATATCACTGTGCAGAAGGCTCTCAGCTTTGTTTTGCTGGCTGTTTTTCTAATTCAGCAGGGCTTACTCATCAGTGGCAGTTCAATGCGCGTTAATGACTCTGGGATTGCAGGCATCACTCTGGACAAAGAAATGATTATTGTGCGGTCAAAAGAAGTTCAAAGACAAGAAGGGAATTTCAGTTTTTTCCTTAGAGATCCACATTCAAGAGCATATAAATTAAGCCAAATGTTAAAAACCACAGTCTGAAAGCTGACTTCAAAGTCACAACTCTCTAATTAATGAACTGCGAGCTTCAGTTTGGACAAGTTGTGGTTTGATGCGCCCATAAATCAACATGACAGGCCTGTTTCACAGTCTCAGACAGTGCTTGTCATTGAGTCACATCAGATGTAAACACAGTAGAAAAAAGAAGGGATATGAAGGAGGTGCAATTGATCAACAGAATTGGTAAAAACCCACTTTTGAAGCACATTATGCATGATCACAGGAAATGGTTACAGCCTCAAGAGGTTTCCCCTTCTGCTGTTGCTTTTTTGAATCAGATTTCTAACAGCCTTCAAAAGGGAGAATAAGAATTATGGAGTTTCTCCCCTGTGGCTCACAGGCAATAACCCCCTGTTGTTATTTTGTGCTTCTTTCTTTTCAAAGGCATCAAAATTTAGTTTTTTAAAGATCTTTAACTCTATATTTGAAGACAAACAAAAAAGGGCTGCCACTGTCATTCTTATCAGTTACCAGGGATTGTGTTTTTCCTTTCTGTTGCCACTTCTTATTAACCTCTTATTTGGTCTGTTAGACAGAGTTTGGAATGCACGTCTGCATGCTGGGAGAACATGAAAGTTCAGATGAGCTCAGAGGGCAGATAAAGAAATGTGAAGGGGAAAGTTACACAGCAGAAGGAAGGATAAAAGTTAACTCTTCCAAATTGCTGCTGTCAGAAAAGGTGCATCTCAGCACACAAAGATGCTGGTGGTGCCTGAGTTTGGGAAGGGAGCAGGGAGAAAAAGAGCTAGATAGATACTTTGCATCTTAACAGGAGAAAGTGAGACAGTAGCATTTTGGCTTTTCCCCAGGAGACTGTTTGCAGGACTGTGCTTTGTTGTCCATTTCCGAGGCCAAGGTGGCCCTGGAGATGGTCTCCTTACTTCCCACCTCAGGCGTAGGCCCGTCACAGGCAGGTCCCCTTGGATTCCGCTGTGTGCTCACCAAGCCACAGGATCTGACTGGGATCTGTTGTAGCAATGATTCAGAGATCCTGCCTTCCCTGAGGTAAGGGGGTGATCTCCCGAAGTTACGCAGGGACGAACCTTTTGTGCTAAAATTCAGAAATAGCATTCCATGGTAGCAATTTCATGTTGTGGACTGGTGGTTGTGATTTTAACAAGTTTTGAACTTGGATGTTGACAGATGGAGCAAGTGTATTAATTACTGACTCCCCCAGTCATTCATTAGCGGTTCATGATTTTGAATCGTCACGTTCCCCCTCTTTCCCCTTTTCCCTTTCTTGATCACCTCTGCAGTGATCCTGGCCCAGAACCATATACCTTTACTCCCCTTTCTTTCCTGAAGTTCCCTGAGATGTTGCCTTGAGAAAGTTAGGCTCCACCTTGGCGCTGAGACCGAAGACCTCCCTTAGGGGATGCATGTAGCCCCAGATAGCTGTTTAAGCCACTGTTCGTTGATTTTTACCGAATGAGTATGGAAAATAGATGGCAGGCTTAATTTTTAGTCAAGCCACCAAAAAAGAAAGGAAAAAAAAAAAAAAAAACCCGTCCTGTGCGGGTGAGGTAGGAGAAGCTGATTGTTTTAAAAGGGCCGTTTGTCCCAGGCAGTTATGACAGTTTATGTTAGTCAGTAGGGAGGAGCCGAAGAAAGGAAAACAGACCTTTGACTGCAGTTCTAGGGAGGGGATCCAAAATGCAAGGTTTATCAGGGCATTTTAGCATTTTAACACTGACTACTGACCTGTCCAGGGGACTGCTCAGAGACCTTTTTTGTATGCATTCAATTGTGAGAAGTAAACAAACGGACTCGTATCCTGTGTTTGGTAACTGGGTGGGGAGCACAGTCTGGCAACCAGTGTTGCTTTTAAATTCTTTCTTTGGACAATGGGCCTTGTATACTTTTATATCCTGGCTTTTCAAACGTGGACAGCTTTCATGAGCTTTTCCTCGGGATGGCCACAGAGACAACAGAAAAGCCATCAGTCATTTTATATAAATACAGAATTTTTAAACATTTCACTTACAGTAAGACAGGAAACACCTCCCCAACTCCAGCACCCCCCCCCACATTATTTTCTGCTTCACGAAGAGCTCATTCCTTGATCTTTTATTGTGTCAATGTTGTTTTTTCTTTTCCTTCCCCCTTTTAAAAAAATGTCGTGAATTAATATCTGCTGAAGAAGTGAAAAAATCATTTTGACATGAATATAACTATCATTGGGTTTTACATTAATGTGATAACTTGGGAAGGGGTGAAAACAATTGGATCATTTTATGCATGCTGTTCTTAAAATGAAAACACTGGCTTTTCATTTAAATTTATTTAAATTTTTGTTGTTAGTGGTATAGAATTTGTTTTTTGGAGTGAAACTCAATTAACTTTCTCAGTGGCATGGTGGTAAGTCTGAAATTGGTTGCTAATATGAGAATGATGGTTTTTACTGTAAAATAAACTACACGGAGACCAAAAGGAAACCATCATTTTTCTCTTCCTTTGAACTTTGCATCAGAAGGTCTTGATATACATACCATTTTATAGATGTATCAGATCAAGGTCACATGTTAGGTTAAGTGAATGCAGTTGTTTGTAAAGTATAGTTATTAGAAGCTCTGAAAGGGTTGTGTAGTCCTTTTAGTTGCAAACGTCTGTTGTTTTGAATAATACTCAGAATTTGGAAAGCAGATCTTGTTCCTTTCCTTTCTTTTTCTTTTTTTTTTTTTTTTTTGGCTACAGTTTGGGAAGGGTTAATATTCCCTTCATAATTGTTAGCCATAATGTGGCTAAGACCTCCACCACGATTTGATTCCTAGCAGATTAAGGATATTAGATAATTTCCTTCTATTTATTGTACTACTGCTCTGTATTATCTTTCTATCACTCAGATAATTACTGAGGAAATCTACATTAATTTTTTTGGCTGGAGCAAGACCCGCTAAACACAGGAATGATGTATTGATGTTTTACACAACAAAAGTTTTCCTCCTGTCATTGTCTGATCAACAACAAGATATTTATCATATCATAAAGCCCCTTCTTTTCAGAACAAAGCGGGTGGGGAAGCAGGACCAACAACCAGACCTAGGGGTTCCCGAAACCTGTGCCAAGTTACTGCATCCGAAGCTTTAAAGTGTCCTTCATATTAAACACTCACAGTCGAGTATGATGTTGTTTGCTAAATTATGAATGTGTGTAATTAAAATCTAGTGGCTGTTTCTATGAAAGATTTACAATGTTATTTCATCGTTTGTCATGGCTAATTAACAATATTAGATGAAGTTTTTCTTCTTCAAAGGTCTGATTTTTTCTCATTTATTTATGTCAGAAGTGATAAACAGAGTAGTTAAAAGCTTCTCCTGGTGCAGGCAGGGGGAAAACAACTTGTACTTTCACACCTCACAGGGTCTGGGTTCAAATGCCTCCAGATTAGGGTGGTATGGTTTTTTGAGAGAGAATAATTACCAGTTGCAAAGTTTAGAAGTTCACATCTTGACTGCAAAAACTCAAGCCTTTGAAACTGTAGGAACAAGCTGACTTGATTGATGAGTTTCTTTTCTATGGGAGCAGCAGCAGGAAGGTAATACATCTACCCCTTGCTTCTCTTCAGAGGTGATGTGTTCTGTCCCTTTTAAACCAGCCTTGTCACTGAGCTGTCCACTAAACTCTAGTGACCACTCTTAGTATTTGACAATGGCAGTGTGTTTTGAAACGTCCAGACTACCAGCCTTCCTGGGGAAGTGGCCATCTCATTTTTTTTTTCTTCCTGATGTCTTACAGCAGCAGCAGGTGGCTACCCAGCAGTTGGCTTTTCAGCAGCAGCTTCTACAGATGCAGCAACTACAGCAGCAGCACCTCCTGTCTCTGCAGCGCCAGGGCCTGCTAACCATTCAGCCAGGGCAGCCTGCCCTGCCCCTTCAGCCTCTTGCTCAAGGTAAGCTTGCAGGATACCAAAGGTTCCTCTTGGTCGAGACTTCGGGGCACAGGTGGCGCAGTGTCTCTTGGCACATCTCAGCTCATCGTTAGGAAGATTGTCCATCTAGAATATATATACCCAAACTTAAAAAACGCTGTGGAAGGAAAAACGCTGTTTTTCCATGATGGACTTTTGTGCTTGTGTATCGTGTCACTGTGAAGCTATCCAGTGGTTCTGGGTCTCAGTATCAGAGGGATCCCTGGGTGGTACATTCTTGGAGTAAAGAAAGCAGCGCTGCTTTGACTTACTCAGCATTTGGGCCTGATCTTCCAAGTGTATTCACTTTGGAATCAACAATTAATTTTCTTGAAGGCTTTTTGTTGGTAGTCGTTTTAAGCTATATTTTATAGCAGTCATTTTGAACTTATTTTATATCATGTAACTTGCTCTATTTTAAATCTTAGTAATGTGTTATAGATGTCACTTTTTCATATTTAGAGCTAAATTCGGGTATATTTTTCTACAAATAATTAAGATTAATCTCTTTCTGTCACCAAAGCAAGGCTGGCTTTTGTTTGGATTTTCTCTATTTTTGCATTTATCAGACTGTTGATTTTTGAATAAACTTCTTCTACATTCATCAGAATAGGAACCAAGTTCCCCATCTTGCACTTCTTCAAAAACTCAGGGTCCTTGAAAAGTTACAAGATATTCATGGATTTAAAGTTTTCTTTTGCAAAGCCCTTGACATGTCATTCCAGTGAGTGTTGGGAATCAGAACTCTGTTTTTAGATATCTTCGTGCTTTAAGCAGTTCTAGCTTTCACATGCGTAATGTGAAAGCAAGTGGATAATTCAGAACTAGAAAAAGGAAAGAAGGAAGGGAAGAAAGAAAAGTGTCCTGCTGTGTTTGAAATGCAAGTTCCCAGCCCATACTCCTATAGCAGATTTCAGTTACCTCCTCAAGGATGCCCCCATTCCTTTCAGTTCTGATAGATAAGGATTATGTGCATGTGTGCCTGAAAGGCTGGTAACCAAAGCCTTTGGTGACATTTACTTTCTGCCATTGAAAATGTAGACCCACCTTCACCCTTCACAATGCTTAAGGCATAGTTGTTTGTCCCATAATATGGTGCCAAGTGGAGCCAGTGAGGCATGTCTACATTTGGATCTTCTCTCTTAAATCAGCCGCACCCATTTTCTGTCCCTTCCTGAGTTTTCTGTTTTTGTTTATGTTTTTGATGTTGAGACTCATTTCCTTTAACTTTCCTCTGGTGCTCCTTTCCTTTCTGCCATTGGTAGATAATCAGCATCTTCGTTGCTGTCAAAATAGAAGAGTTGGTAACTGAGTAGTCCAAGGGAAAAAGGAAGGACACATCGGTAATGCATTTTTGTGCTTGCAAAATGTTATAAGGTTCATTAATTACACCTTGGGGTTTATTGTTAGAAGCATTGCAAGCTGTTCTGACACACCCTCTGGACTAGGGCTTCAACCTTTCTCATCTTTTCCCACCACTCCTATACTATTAAGTTTGCTCACTAAGGTTCATTGTTATAGTACATCAGTTAAGCTGTCCAAAAGAGGGCAATTGGGCAGTGACAAGACAAGCTCATGTGTAATGTGAAAGAAATGAATGTGGTGATGCATGAAGTGTAATCTCTGCAGTAACATATCAGAGACACCGGTAGGTAATTCACTAGTCGTGGCATTGATTGATATGCGTAGCAGTCTGCTGTAACTATTAGCCCCTGTAACATTAGGAAGAAGCATATTTAAAATCTAAGGGGTGCCTTTATGTGTGTCAGAGATGCATAAAGTTAATATAAATGTTTCTGGAATCAGGTTTTGTAGTGAAGTGAGCTACCATGTCATAAGCGTCTTCTGTGGAATCAGGAGGGTAGTTTTATCTTCCCTACCCCCTCACCCAAAGTGGCCTGAGAATTCAGTCATGTTGGACTGCAACATAATTTTTTTTTTTTACCAGAGACATGATGGCTTAAAACTGATGTCATTATGAGGTTTAAATCAACTTTCTGCTTGCTTGCACATGGTCACCTGGGTATGGATGTACAAGGACAAAAAAAGGTTGATCAACTCTGTTTGTCTTTGAGCCCGTGATACCTGGGGTTGTAAAATTGAGTTCCATGAACAGTAATCTGTCAACTGTCCCCACAACATACATTTTTTAAACCTGTGTCTGCATTTTCCTTTTATAATGAAGGGGCCAGTTGTCCTAGAAAAAGAAATGTAGCAAGGCAGAGAGGTTATGTGTTGTAGATGCCGGTAATGCCCCTTCATGATGCAGTCACCAAGTTTCTTTTACATACCTACTCAGGACCTTGGCTAAGTTAACCTTAAATGTGTACGTATCAGAGTATAGGGAAAAAAAGAGAGTCATATTCTGAAGGCCTTTTTCCTTCAAGTTTTTATATTATGGAATAGAATACTATTTTCGTTGTTTGTCATGTTGTTGTAAGAACTTTCTCTGTTTTACATAATTAGCATATCTTTTTTCACCCTGGTCTCCCTGATCATCAGATACTCCTAGCATCAGTCACTTCATATAGAAATATATTTATTTATTATATATATATATATATATATATATATAAGATTTATTTATGCATGCATGCAAAAACTGGGATGTAGGTCAGAGGTACAGGGGGCCAGGAGTGAGAGAATTCACCAGAGACAGAGTGGAGAGCAGAGTAGGCAGACTGACTGAAATACACTGCAGAGGGGAGCAGCGGGTGAGACAGGAGTGGTCTGCTGTGCCATGTGTGTTAGCTCTCTGGCTGGCTGGGTTTTGAACTTGTGCTGCAGTGGCTGGCGATAGTTTGATAGCTCTGTGTCTTAAACCCTGCGCCGCCAGGGAGGCCCAGGAAATATATTTTTAATATCATGTTGACCTTTTAATTTTTCAAATGTATAGATGGGGGGGAAATTACATATGTAATTATGTACCTGTTCGTGGATTTCTTTGACCTTGTCACTGATTCCTCTGTACAATTTTGGAAGACCTGCATGTTTTCTGGAAATTTGATAACCATTTAGTCCGATGAGTGACTGACTTACCTTTTATCTGCCTTAGTTCTATCATGAGATCTTGGCTGTCAAATAACAGCATCCTTTGGTAGCTAGTTTTCATTGAACTAACAGTTTAACATCACTAACAAGGTGTAGCATTGATGAAGGAGGCCGATTTGACTGTTGCTCTGTAAGTCTGACAAGAATGTTCTTAAATGTAATTATCACGGGAAGTTTGACCCAAAAGTATGCCTTTTGTCAGTCAATGAGTTAGTCTTTTATTTACCATTTCTCCTATGGACGATGAAACAGATTAGCCAGCCCATTGGAATAAAAGGACAGTAGGGTAAATTGATGTGCTCCCCAGGTGTAACAAGTGTAACAAGACATTTGTCTTTATTTGCCAGATAAACAGCTTACTTTTAAAGTGGCCGTCAAGTTCTCTTTTCGGGGGGGAAAGTGTTAATGCAGTTGTTAGAACCATGTTCTTCCATCTTCCCACCTCCTATGCATCTGACCCAGGAACCAATTAATTTAAGTTGAAAAATAGGCGGCTTGATCTTTTCAAGTGTATTTACTCCCTGGAAAATAAAAATAGGTGTTGACTTGTGTGGTTTTATATCAATGTGCTATCATCAACAGACAAGCCTATTCACTATTGTTTCAACTGAGTAAACAGTGGGCGCAGGGTCAGCCACACTCACAGGTAATTGTTGGTGTGCAGACATCAGTGGCAGGCCTGTTAGCTGCAAACACATCCCACATGTCACTTTGCAAGGTGTTTGAAAATAATAGCCCAGATGCAGCAAAACCGGACTTGGGATTGTATAATGACCTTTCCCTTTGTTTAATTTGCCTTCGAGGTTTAATTTCAGGGGACAAGTAATAATTGAATATGCCTAATAACTAAATGCTCATTTGGGACAAAATCCATCAAAATATAATTGGCATTTGATTTTTATGAAGGAAGAAGAAACCGACTTGGCTGTCTGTCGAGGATATGTTCTAAGAATATCTGACCACTTCATGTATCATTTGAAGCCTCCTTTATAATATATATTAATTGCAAATACTTGAGCATTTGAACATTTTCGTGGAGAACCTTTCGGAGAGACCAACTGTTTTTGTTAACACTCCTCTCAGAGAGGCGGGGAAGGTTATTGGTCTGCTGTGCAATAATTTACTCCTCTTTGATATGCAAACGATCCACGGTGAATATAAAAAAATCCTATCAGACTCATTTCACAGTTCTTAACCACTCGGATTCTCTGGAGTCCATCGCCTCATTAGACCAGTGCTCTCCAATGCTAGCATAATTAAAATCTTTAACAGTTTAGCAAAGTAAAGATGTTTGGCTGATCACGTTGAGATGATTATCTATCCATTGTATTCTAAATGACAAAAATAAATTAAATTTAGACCTTGGCATTTTTTATTATGTGTTTCAAATGAATATAATGCACACAGCCTTCTTTTTTAATTCAATACCTAAGGTTTGGTAAGAAACATGCCTGTCAGTTGCTGCTATATCATCAGAAAATGGCAGGCTTTCTAGGATAGCTGTGTTACAATTGATTGAAACAATGAACTGCAATCCAGATGTCCTGTTCTAATGTGGGATTACCTTGTGATGTGCAGGATTTATGATTTCTTTTCAATGCCCTTTCAAAGGACACTGCTGCTGTTGTTTGTTGTTGCAGCTTGTTGCCATCTAGAATGTTTTTCTTCTGGGTACTAGAACATGTGTTGAGTTAGGATTTGGAAATCCTGGGCCATAGAGACAGTCAGGCTCCATCAAGGCCACAAAGCCCATGATGCAGAGATTGACATACTGATTGTTACTGTTCTTGGAGAAAATACAGGCTGACACTTACTTCTTAAGACCTGTGTCCATTTGACCCCCTGAAAAAGCAAGAGAACTTTATCACTCCAAGTTTATTTTACGTTTTCATTTTATTCTGCAATGGTTCATTAGCATTGATCTAAGAAATGACAGTAATAATAGTGTTACTTGTATAAAAAGTTATACAGTTTTTCAGTAGACACATCCATCAATTAAGCATGTGGTACTAGAAACCAAAATTAATGAGGAAGATAGGTGTGTTAATGAAATAATCATAGTATAATCAATTTGACTGTTAAAAGTTGAAAAGCATTTCAGGAAGACGATATGAATTCATAATTTATGTCTAAAAATGATTAATAAAAACTATATTTAATAACAAAGCTATTTGTCATCATTTAAGAATTAAGCACAAAAATTATTCATTTTGTGGTTCATGTTGTCATAATAGTATAGTTGAGCAGATTTATTTTGAGCCCCTCTTTGTGTCTAAAAATACAGTAACATCTATCTACTTTTTCTCAAAAATCTAGAAACAACAGTTTTGAGGGAGGCATATTGTCTTTGCAAAGGAACTATATTTTGAATCCTTTTCATGGGTGTCTTTCATGTGTGATGAGGGCACTTGAACTCCGCTGCTCAGTGGGAGGACCTGGTTGTTACTCCCTTACTTGCCTTCACTGGGAGGGAAAGATACTGCACATACCAAAAAAAAAAAAAAAAAAAAAACCCTAACACTAGGCTTTGTTTACTGACTCTTTGATTTAATTACTGTTTGAAGAGGACGGAATTAGCTGTTAATTGATTTAATTATCCAATTTGTTTGTTTCAGGCATGATTCCAACAGAACTGCAGCAGCTCTGGAAAGAAGTGACAAGCGCTCATACTGCAGAAGAAACCACAGGCAACAATCACAGCAGCCTGGATCTGACCACGACATGTGTGTCTTCCTCTGCACCTTCCAAGACCTCCTTAATAATGAACCCTCATGCCTCTACCAATGGACAGCTCTCAGTCCACACTCCCAAAAGGGAAAGGTAGGAAAGGGAAGCTGTGATGTGTCCAAATCTGTCTTCAGTGTGGAAGGGGTGGGTGGCCTTGCCTCGCCTTATCTCAGTGATCCCTAATTGGATCCTTGTGACTTGAATGTGCATATAATTACTTAAGAATGTATTCAGTATGGTTTGGGTGCAAAGCATCTAATTATTTTCACCTTTTCAACACAGAATTAGCACTTTTGTAGATCTAACCTAAGCTTAGGAACCCAGTCAGTGTCTTTTGGTTTCTCATTGGATGGGTTGGATTTCAAGACTTCTAGGCCAATTCTTTCTGCCAAATACACACTCCATACAAGCTGAATTCCTTGGCTCTAGACACCTTCCAAGGGAATCGTAGTGTCTGCTGTGGGCAATTTTGAATTACACTTTGAGGAAAGATAGAACACGCTGTTATGCTCTACCCTCCTTGAAGGCAGGAAGACCATCTTTTTCATTGTGGTGTCCCCAGGGCACGGGGTCTTTCTCATAGGAAGCACTCTGTGAAGGCTTAAAGGATGGAGAGATGGAGGGAGCCCATGTAATAATACATCCACAAACTTAAACAGCACTTCCTCTTGCTCATGGAGATACGGCTCTGTTGTCTCCACTGCTGTGTGCCTACTGGAAGTTAATGCTTTATGTGTTTAATTTCCCTGAGCATCACTTGGATGTTACTGGAAACTGACGTTGTTTAGCAATCTAGACTTCTTGTTAGTATACAGTTCCAAAAGCAAGAAAAAAAATTAAGCTTTTAATTCCTGTTGTTTTATGTTAGTACCAGAAGCATTAATACTACTCTTGAAATGCTTTGCAAAAGGGGAATATATAATGCTCCTAAAATTAAAAGCTTTTATCAATTGACTATTTTTAAACTGTTTCCTGTATATTTCATAGGCAGGGCTTCCACAAGTAGAAGAAACCTGAAAAGTTATATGTGACAGTAAATGTCATTTCCATCAGGAAAAACAAATTCTATATTTTATTTTTTAATAAGAGTGATTCCGTGAAAGTTTTTGAAATCTTATTTTTCATATATGCAGTTACAAATATAATTTCATGTATTTTCTGAAATAATAAATATACAAGAAGCCCATAGGTTTAAGTCGATGTGTATCTTTCTACCAGTGATACTTCATCCATTTAAGGATGATAATCACAGAAAATTTTATGAATATTTCTGGGTGTGTCTGTCATGTTCAAGCACAAAAACTAGGAGAGGTCCCCAAGATGAGGATTACATGTTTTAACCAAGACTTGAAACTGTCCTTTTCAAGATCAGCTTGGAATTTTTGTGGCATATAGAGAAGAACTAAAAGATGCTGAAAGCGTGTTGGTTTAATAGACTTTGAAGAATTTGGTGGTCATTAAGACTCAGTTTGGAGTGGCTTTTATTGTGTCCAGTAAGAATGATTTGTATGTCTGGAAGCCAGTCTTAGCTCTTGCTTTAATAGTATCTTACAATGTCCTCATGCATTAGGAAAAAAGGCGAAGCTAAGCCTTAGATAGCTTTAAAGGCAGGTTCTAGGCTATCCTCCTCTGCTGTCGTTGCTCTGATATCCTGAGGTTCATGACGTCCATTACTGCAGAGTGATTGAATTACATCTTTATCCATAGGCAGAGCTGGAGACCATACACTGAGAAATGCCGACTGATGCACTTAAGGTATTTGTTGCAATCTCGTCGGCCACTGTGGAGCCTGCACAGAAAACTCTGTGGCACAGGAAACTCTTCTTGTTTAGATGCATTGTGCTCAGTTTCATTCTTATTTTCTTAAAGGTTATATATCTCTGCAGTCAGGAGGTAGATTAGCAACGAGGCAAATGGGAGAAGAATAACCCTTTTCACGTCTTAAGGCGTATATGAAAGTAAATGGATAAGAGACAGTCTAATTCCAGGAGAATAAGTTTGTTTGTTTTTTTTTTATGATCCTTATTTGTCTGCACACATGAGGCATAATCTTCATTATACTACCTGCCAAAATTAGAATATGAATCAAGAAAGAATCCAGGCTCTACTGAGCCTTAATCTGGATGTAAAAACAGGCTAAATTTTCCAGCTATACTTGCAATGAAGAAACAACAAAGAAATAATATGCAGCTACTTAATCTCTTGGATCTCTCAGTTTATATTATCTGGTAGATTCCTAGACCTGACTGGATTAGAAGGAAAATCTGGTTAGCACGTTTTAACTGCATGTATTGGACAAGACAAATGAGCATCTTAAGTTAAAGCTAATTCCAAAGTTATAAACTTAGAGAATTGATCATTAAAAATTAAATGATTAGTTAGCCAGCTTTGGTGTGCATATAGGTACTTATAATGAGTATGATGTTGTTATACATTATGGTCTATTTTAAAGTCACAAATGTGATACTCTGTTTAAGTAGTAAGAAATCTGGAAAAACCTATCACTATAAAAATATATTCTTAGACACTGAGTTGTCATTTGTCTCAGGAGACCCTTGGAGAAGTTTCTTGCCACATTCAACAAAGCGTTTGTGAAATATGTGTGTTTTTCCGAGCTCGCCCTGGATTTGAGTGTACTATTCTTTCCCACCCCCTTCTGTGGCAATAGCTGAACAGAGAGAGCCTCTGCCACACTAAATAATTATCTAGTCTCTAAAACTCAGATATTAAGGTGAACAGTTTAAGAATTCTTTTTGCAAGGGTGTGGGAAGGCTCTGTGTGAAAATTTGTTGGAAAAAGGCAAGATCGTGAGTTTTTGTTTGTTTTTAAAATAGTGAGATGTCTAATAACCTTAAATGAACTCCATATTTCTATGCCATTTGCAAAACTCTTTCTCCCCCTCTCTTGTTCCTGTGCATTTTGCGGGCTCCTGTGAGCAGCCGCTGCAGCAGCAGCTCTGGGGTTTGGTGAGCTGCAATCTGTTAAGGAGATAAATAATGTGCTTGGCACGACACTCCTACTCTCCTCTTTAATTTGTCTTACACAAGGAAAATTATAATTAAATCATTCAGGGTAAACCCTTGAGTGTAGAAAAGGGAAAAAACACACTTTGGTAAAGATTGCCAATAGAAACCCACTTCCCTGTTGCGCAGGGTAGAGGCATTTATCAATATTCAGCACTATTATGGGAGGAGCAGCCCATATGATTTGTGCAGCCGATGCCAAAGCTCAAATCAAGGCTTGTTATGATCCTGTCCCTGTGCAATCACGGACATTCAGCATCGTTAGAATTCAGTACTGGCTCCTTGTTTGGGGCTTTGATTTGCTTCTGACAATTTAATAATGTTTATTGCACTGATTATATATAAATTCATTGGTGCAATAATGAATCAGTGCATGAGAGACCTGTAGTGGGCATGAAATTCAGTGGGCAGAAGCTAAAAGGAGTTATAAGAGGATGCTGGCAAATTCATGCCTCTTCCTGTCATTTTATTCCATGGGACAGGGAGTCATGACACCTTAGGTAAGTTGATAACCTGTAAACATGAAGATACTATCTTGTTACCTTAACGTGTCTGAGTAGATGGCTTTAGGAAATTCCAAGTTTTTGTGTGGGTAAACAAAATCAACAGAATGCAAATGAAACATTTATTAAAATGCTAAACTTAGTAAAGCCCTCTGAGCTTCTTGGATCAAAGCAGCTATGTAAATACAAATAGCAATTACTACTTAAGTAATTGCCTGAATTAAAATTCTAAATATCACATTATATTATGGAGCACTGGGGAAAGGGAAGGAACTTGTATTTAATCAGGCCTTCATCTGTGCTAAGCACTTTTGTCTTTGGAGTGATGTCTCATTTTATCCCTGTCACCACAGAAAACAGTAGGGATTGTTATACCCATTTTACAGATAAGGAAATCGAGTCTGGAGATTAAATAACTAATAACAGGTCACAGAACTGTTAGTGGTATATTCAAGATCCAAATTCAAGACTGTCTTTAGTTCATACATAGTGTATAAAACAGCACTTTAAAGTTTTTGCCCAGCTAAAAAGTGAAAGCTTAATTATGTTAGATTAAAATTAGTGTTCCCAAAAGAAATTTTAAATTTAATATGAATTCTGTTCAACGAATGTTTATTAACTTAACTTACCGTGTGCATATCAGTACATTTAAAGGAAAATACCAGAATTTCTTGTTTCCAGGTTGATACAGCTGTTTACTAGGTCTTTCATGAAGGTATGGTATAGGTAGAATTGGCAAAATAAATCATTTATGGTCTGTAATAGTACATAAAGAACAAAAATAAACCTCGTGAAAAGTATGCACACAGGCAAATGCAAAATGAGCTTCTTTCTTCTTTAAAAGTGTCCTCAATTTCCTTCCTGCCTTATAAATCTTGAGTTGCCTGATTGAACATCATATGGACTTTATTCTATTTCAACTGTCCTCTGTAGTCCATCTTAGAAATGTTCCTTTTTTCTGATCGTTCCCAACTTTTTGCTTCCAGTTCAAACACCTTTAGTAGATGTTTTATAACTTGCTTATTTCTCAGATTCATAGTTCATCTAAATATTTGTTCCAAGACTTCCTTACATATTTGGTGAAAGAAGTTTCTTTAAACTCTGGAAAGATCACGGTTGTGCAGCCTCATCTTTCTTTAAGTCCATATTGTTGTTCTCAGAATCAGGTGACCCACACCTGGCACCTTTCTCTATGAGGTTGAACCTGCATCTCACCAAGTCCCTTTTTTCATTGTCGTTCTCATTTATTGACACAGCCCATGTATCCCAGTGTCTTGTGTTTCGTACACTCTACAGTTATTTGGCTGCAAATAACCCCTGAAGGTTTTTGCTTGGCTTGTGTATTTTCAGACAATTTCACCTGATACGCAGTCTCTGTTTCTGATTTGTGGCCTCTTGACATATTGCCATGCATTTGACTATATAATAATACCATTTGTGTTTACCAGCCCTGCTATTTTCAAAAGACGCCCTGAAACATATACATGCCCGGTATTTCTTTCTATTTTTCCATCGCTCTCTTTTTTTAAAACCAATTTTTATGTTGGTGAATAAATATTGGTGTTCT